CACAAGACAATTTTTTATGTCACAACAGTGACAAGGGTTGTTGTGGTTTGCTTGGGTTTATTYTACAGAATGTTTCTCTCCTAGATATGTATTCAAATCTGTTTTAATAACAAACCTCACAAACAGCACAGTCAAGTCCCAAAACTCACCATTACTGACAGTTTAACAGACACACAGAGATTTCCAGCTGGTCAGCATTCATTTTAGCTCAGCTCCRCATCCCGTTAATCCAATGGAATCCAATAATGTTTGCTTTAATAGCACAGCACAATGCAAGGGATCGGACTTTCCACTCTAAACCCCATATTCCAGGGCAGCATCCATGACCCAGTAACCCACTTCCAGCAGAGGTTAAGGAAAGGTACATCAGACAGAGAAGTTCACTCCTGTCATTCACACAACCTGTGCAACTACTCAAGATACCAAAACTTCTACTTCTCCTGAATTTACATGGCTGAACAGCTCCAGCACAAGGAATAGCCCCATCTTCATCCTGTTTCCAGCAAAACCAAAGTACTCCTCCTCAAGGAACAGCCCCTGGCAGCTTGGAGGGCAGCACCTCTATCATGAGCATAATGTGCCCCAACTGGCATCCTTCACTTTTTGGATAGTCTGGGTGAATTGCTCAAGTTCTCAAGACAATCTAGGATTTCAGAGGAAAGGTGAATATTGTCRATTTATGAGGGTAAAAAACCCCAGGAGCTGAGTTTTGTTCATGGGAATGGCACTGGAGATCAGACTCCTGGAATCTGTTTGASATCAGACTACTTCCAGCAAGAATTCAAAAGATATATATATATATGTATGTATACACACACACACACACATATGTTTTTACTATTTTTCCAACAGCCACTATAGACAGACAGKATTAACACATCCTTCAGATCCCAGAAGAACTAAAAAAAACACAAAAACCCCAGGAATATCACTAAGCCCCCCCTCAGTACTCGCACTGCCCCCTCAGCCCTCCTGCCTGGTCACGATCCACCCTCTGAATACGACACAAACAGCAGACAAAGCCCCCATCCAGACAGCTCCAAAACAAGCTCCTTCTCCCACAATCCTGACAAAATGAAGAGACAGCCTTGCTAAAATAAGATCCCGATGTATATTTATATTTCTGCCGTAAAATGCTATTTATTCACCATCTTATTGGCGAGCCTTCCCAGTATTTACGAGAAGAAGCCGCCACAGGAATTGTGCCATCCCTCCAAATCCAAACGTAGATTTACCTAACGTATTCAGGATGAGAATTCCTGTACTACTCCAACCTGCCCCCTCTAATTCTCCAAGATTTCGCTCCCAGCTGCTGAGCAACACCCACGACATCCCCTACGTAAGGTACGATCCCGATTATGCTCCATGCAGCGGCAGCGCGGATCCGTGATCCCGCAGGAAACCAGGCTCGGAGCGTTACGCACTGAACTTACGCYGTCCTAGGTTTGCCTCCTCCGTCCCCACATCTAAACTTCTCCCCAGCACGCAGCGATTCCGCCGCAGGCAAAGGCGGCCAAACCAGCGTGTTCCAGTATTAGTCCCATCACCGCACCCGAGATTAATTTTAATGGCGTTGGCAATAGCTGTAGTGGGAATGCAAAAAGACACSCTCGTGGAGGCTGCTCCACAGATCCCAGGAAGTTAATTCTGGCTCTGGTCARATATTGGGAGTTGGCTCCACGCTGTCCAGTGTGCCTTAAAAAGCAGGAGCTGGGCGCTAGTGGGATTAGAGATCAACAGGAGAGAAAGCTCCCTGATTTCACCTAACGTGAGCCAGGCTGCAGCGCTCCTTGTCAGAGCCCTTTGGCATTTCCAGCCCTGCACAGCCTCGGAAGCAAACGGTTTTCCTCTGCATTAACATAGCAGGGAAAAGTCTGAGCGGCTTCAGCTTTGCTTCTTCTTATTACCCAAAAATCAGCCCCCCACATGCACCCCCTCTGTCCCTGTAGGCATCACTACAGCATCCCCCTCCCCACACGCTCCCTCGAGCATGCCATGGCATGGGGTGTTTGTGCACAGCTCAAACACAATCATCTCTTTTGCCTGACTCCAAGAAAGGAAAAATCCAACTTGCCAGAGGAGCATCTGCATTGAGAACTGCTTTTGCTGATGGGATCAGCACTTGGGAGCAGGGGAAGCAGCAGAAAGGGTCGCGGACCAATTCATCATCCTCGCACGCACCACCCGCAGACATCCCCCTCCCGCCACCCCCCAGCCCAAATCTCGGCCGTAAAAAAACATAAAAATAGAATAAACCCCCAAGCAGAAGTTGAGAACAAATGTGCTTTGAACGCTGCACAAATGACATTGAAGATGCAGAAGAAATATGTATTTGCTGTTGCACCGCAYGATTGCATGGGCTTATTTCCTACGTACACATCTCACGCACCCTGCCCACGCAGATCCCCTCCCCTCCACCCCCGCGGCTTCTTCAAAAAAATTTGGGAAAATAAAAATCTTTGATCCCTAAGGATTATTTCAAAAGCTACAAATCCCACCGACCCCTATCTGGAGCCTCTTCCTGACAGCCTGACCCATCCGTGGGGTGGAGAGGGTGCATTCACCATCCCATGGCAYAATCCAGAGCCGTCCCTCTGCCCCCACCCCAAATCTCACAGCCCTTCCACATTACCAACCCGCGCCCCAGCTCAGAGGATGCTGGGCCACGCCAGGTCTTTACAGCTGTCCTTACACCACCTCTTTCCGTAAGCCCGACATCTCGGTGGCAGTGTTTGCATCCACAGGCTTTCATCCTGGAGAATCCCTCCCTGCCTCCTCCCACCTCTCTTTTTGGGGAGGATAACGTAATTTCCAGCTCGCGCTGGAAGGTGCATTTTTATTCCTGCCGAGCCCGAGGTCACTTCCCAGACCCATCCTCCGGCCAGTGTCTCCCCCACCCCAGGACCTTCTCCTCCGGCAGGGAACAGTCCCTTATCCCTGACCTTCAGCCTCACACCGGCAGCCCCACCGCCGCCGTCCCCACCGAGGAGGTTTCTCCTTTCTCCAAAGCCACAGCCGAGGCATCACGCTGCGTTTTTCCACTCCCACCATCCRCTCCTTCGGTTCGGGGGGAGTCAGCGAGCCGGTGGCTCCCGCTCCCGCTCCACCAGCTGGGGAGAGGCTCTCGGGGATGGATGAGACCCTYACCCCCTCATCCCTATGGGATCCGWGCCAGGAAGACATCAATCCTCTGGAATCAGCACGTCCCAGCGCTCGGCAGTCACGGGTCCCTCCCCCTGCAGACCCTCTCCGGAGCAGCCCCTGCATTCCATGGGGTCTTCTCCTGGCTGCCCCCCGGTTCCAGGAGGGGGGCAATGGGGTGGGTCCCCCCTGGGGCCACAGGACCTCCCTCTGCAGCACTCCGAGGGTCACCCCCAGCCCTGGGCCTGTCCTGTCGGGAAGAGCAGCTCCATGAGCCCCTGCCCATCCTGCCCCATGACTGTGGAGCAGCAGGAGCCCACCCCAGCCCTGAGAGGCACCATCCACATTCCCTCAGAGCTAGAATCCCCTCCATCCACACCATGGGGCGCACAGAGATGTGTCCCCTCTGAGCTGTGAGATGACAGCAGCCCCATTCCCCCCTCCCCAGCCCCACAAACCCATTTTGGGGGGCATCTCTATTCCCTTTGGGGCTCCTCTTAGTAAGAAGAGGTCACCCCAAATCTTCACATGGGGAGTACCATCCCATGTCCTGCTTGGACCAACCAACCCCACTCCTCCCACCTCAGTCCCACAGACACATTTTGGGGGAGCTTCTCTTCCCCTCAAATGTYCCCTCAGCACTAGGGGGGCCTTGACACCTCCTCCACCATGGGGAGCAGTGACAAAGGTCCACCTCAGCCCATGAGGTGACAATGACCCCCATGCCCCCCAGGATCATTTTGTGGGAATCTCTCCTCCCTTTGGGTCTCTCCTCACCCAAAGTTGGATGAACCCCCAAATCTCCCCTCCTTCTCCACATGGTGGGCATCACAACCACCTCAGAGCACGAGGTGACACTGTCCTRTGTCCATCTCAGACCACAAGCTGAYAACATCCTCCACCTACCCCACCTCAGCCAGTGACAGTGACCCACATGCACCTCAAACCATGAGGTGACACTGACTCCCATCAATCCCACCTCAGCCAGAGAACAGCGATCCACCTCAAGCCATGCGATGACACTGCCCCATGTCTGCCTCAAACCACGAGATAACAGCAAYGGCCATCTGGTCCACCTCAGCCCATCGAGGTGACACTGACCCCCATCTGCCCCACCTTGTCCAGGGGACACTGGCCCACCTTAAACCAGCAGATGACACTAATCCACCTCAAACCAGGAGGTGACACTGACCCATGTCCACCTTGGACCACGAGGTGACACTGACCCACGTCCACCTCAAACCAGGTGCTGACAACCACCCATAACTGCACCTCCTCAGCCAGGGGACACTGAGCCACCTTGGACCACAGGGGACACTGAGCCATGTCCACCTTGGACTACGAGGTGACACTGACCCACGTCCATTTTGGACCACGAGCTRAGAGCTCCTCACCCCATCCAGGGGACAGTGACCCATCTCAAACCACGAGGTGACACTGACCCATGTCCATCGTGGACCACGAGCTGACAGCGACTCAAATCCGCCTCAAATCAGATGCCGACAACCACCCATAACTGCCCCTCCTCGGCCAGCGCACACTGAGCCACCTTGGACCACAGGGGACACTAACCCAGGTCCACCTTGGACCACGAGGTGACACTGTCCCCGTCCATCTCAAACCAGGAGGCGACAGTCCCCGTCCATCTCAAACCAGGAGGCGACACTGTCCCCGTCCATCTCAACCAGGAGGCGACACTGCCCCGCATCCCCCCCCCGGAGCAGGGGCTGGTGCTGCCCGCGTCCCCCTCGCACCGGGCGCTCGCAGCCGCCGCTCCCGCCCCTCCGCGGCCGCGCTCCCCGACCCAGCGCGCCGCCCGCCCCGCCGGGGGCCCGGCAGAGTCCCCGGCCGCCCCTTACCTCCAGACCTGCCCCATCTGCAGCAGGTGGATGACGGTCTGCCAGACCCAGACGGAGATCCTGCAGAGGCGCTGCGCCCCGGGGGTGGCGGTGCCGCCGACTCCTCCTACCCCGCCGGCGGGTCCCCCGCGCCGGCCCGCGGTTCCCCCCATCATGGGCGGCCCGCGGCTGCTGAGCCCCTGCACGGCGCCCAGCCCGCCGCCCGTGTAGTCCTGCACGAACCAGCGGAAGCTCAGGATCTGCACCAGCACCGAGGGCAGGAGCACGAAGGCCAGGGTGAGGCCGCACCACAAGTAATCCCGCCGGCCGTAGTGGTGCAGCGCCAGCCACAGGTCCGTGCCCACGTCCCCCAGCAGCACCAGCAGCGCCAGCACGATCCACAGGCAGTCCAGCCACGGCCGCTCGGCCGCCTCGCCGCCCTCCGGCGGCCCCT